TCGCTTCTCAGGTATGTGTCCAGTTTGCAAAATCACATACAGAATAACCATATGAAATTACCAGATATCGAATATACATTCAATCTAGTATTTCCAGGCAAATATAACACAGTGATCTCAGAGTCAGAAATAACAGATTTCACCACAGGGTGATGGTTTCAAGGGGCGTACCCCAGATGAGAGAAGGGCCATCAGACTTTCTTTTTGGGTGACGAAAATATACTGGAACTTGATAGAGGGGATAGTTGCACGACATTGTGAATGTAGTAAATACCACAGAATTGGACAACTTAAAATAATTTTTTATGTGAATTTTGTATCCATTTTCAAAAAAAAAAAAAATACTTGGTCTAAGAGAGAAAAGAATGATCCAGAAAGTAAGGAAGTGCTCAAAGAATGAAACGTACATGTCAAAAGGCCACAGGATCCATCCCGGGAGAGGACTGTTTATTTTAATTAGAACTTATTTATTTTAATTAGGACTGTGAGTATATTTTCGTTTTTAAGCCATGTTAACAAAATTTTTCAAAAATGCTCACTTTGAACATTGTGAATGTCAAAGTATATTCTTAAGCATTTTATATCTACTTGTAATTTTTAGAAGCCTTGTTTTGTATTTGTTAAACTGAACATAATTTTCAGATAATTTTAAACATTACTTTTCATATCTGAAATAAACATTTTTTTTAAAAAAAAAAAAGGATGCAGTAGCCAGTTTGAAGGGGCTCCCACTAGCCGAATCTGGGTCAAGTTGAACATCACAATAAATAGTGACAGGGCTGGTTTTGTGGTCATGCAATTTGCATGTCACCCAGGGTCCCGCACTCAGAATTTTAGTGCTCTGGAGTTGCCATCATAAAATTCTTAATAATTATATCTTTAAATTTGTTTTACAAGTGAAATCTGATGGCAAAATAAAGCATGCTGGGGGCTTGGAGTCTGCTCACACATGGTTCTGACTCCTGCCACTGCCCACTCCTCACCCCTGGTCCCCTGGGCCTTGCCCAGCCCTGCATACCTGCCTTGCTCCAGGGCACTGACTGGGTCACCTTGGCTGAGGGAAGCCCACATTCAACCATCACCTTCCACCAGGACAGGGGACTGGGAGTGCAGGAGGAGCCAGGGTTGGGCACATGCCCCACGGCACCATGGGGTGGGCAAGGAGGCAGTGCCATGACACATTCCCTGTGCCACTCATCATCAGGGGCCTCTTTTCACCACCACCCAGGAATAAGAACACCCTGGCATGCAGGCTGCCATCCCTTGGGGGTTGCCCATTTTCCGGGATTGGAGTGGTGGGCCTATAAGGAAACTTACTCATCCCCACCCGGAGCCCTGCATTCTGACTTTGCACTGCGCCCCACAAATCATGCAGTCAGCCCTGGTGATAGTCATAGATTGTAACACATGGAATAAAATAGGAATCTGTGAATCATACTGACACATCATTTCTGCAGTATTCCTACCAAAATTTTATAACCTGAATCTACCTAATCATGAGGAAGCATTAACAGACCCAAATTAAGAAACATTTTCTAAAACAATAGACCAGTATTCTTTAAAAATGTCAGTGTCATGAAAGGGAACGAGTGAGGAACTGCTACAGAATAAATGAAACCCAAGAGACATGACAACTAAATTCAAATGTGATCCTGGATTAGTTCCCAGAGCAGGGGGGGAATCTCTTTTGCTCTGAAGAACATTAATGGGACTTGGTAGAATTTAGATAAAATCTGAGATATCATTCTTAACTTCCTGATCTTGATCATTATGCTATAATTAGGAAAGAGAATATCCTTGTTTTTAGGACTTGCACACTGAAATATTTAGGGGTGAAGGGCAACATGTGGGCAACTTAGTCTCATGGGTTTAGAAAAATAGTGTGTGTTTGTGTATATATACATACATGCATAAATATGGAGAGAAGAAAGGTTAAATCAAATGTAAAATGTTAACATTCGTGGAATCTGAATAGCAGGTATATAAAAATTCCTCTTACTATTTTTCCACCTTTTCTCTAAGTCCAAAGTTATTTCAAAATAATAGTTTTAAAAAACATTTAAAAGTCTCTTCAGAAACCCCCCCGGGATCAAATCTAGTGGCCCACTGATAATCTATCATCGTCTTGGCTTCCCCCTCTAACTCTGCCTTCCCCTATCCTGCACTCCTGATCTTGGGGTTAGAATGGATTTGTAATGAGACTGGAGAAGCCACCACCTGAGGATGTTACCTGGAAGGCCCTGATCATACTCCTTTCGCTGAGGCACTAGTAAGGGTAAATGTACTGCTGAGGAGGCCATTGACATCTCTGTAAAGTTCAGTGGTGGTTGTCTTTTAGGGACAAATTGACAGAAGCTGCTGCTGCAACAGGGCTTCTTAGAATCAATTAGAAATAAAAAGAATTTCTGAATGGCAAAGGACAGACAGCAGGACATAAGTACTATACCGGGAAGCAAAGGTGGAGTGCAACCAGGGTGTATTGACCAATAGAGATCTGTGTGATAGTTAATAGATTCAAGGTATTTTTAAGTGTACAATTCAGTGGTTTTTAATGTATTCAAAAAATTGCTCACCACTATCTAGCTCTAGGACATTTTCATCACCAAAATCCTATATCCATTACCAGTCACCCCCTATCCCTTCTTTCTCCTAGTCCTTGGTAACCACTATCTTTGTCTCTATGCATTTGCCTGTTCTGGACACATCATACAAATAGAATCACTCTTGTGCCCAGCTTCTTTCATGTTTTCAAAGTTTATCCATGTTGTAGTATGCATCAGTATTTTTTTAAAAATATCTTTATTGATTTCAGAGAGAGGAAAGGAGAGGGAGAGAGAGATAGAAACATCAATGATGAGTCATTGATCAGCCACCTCCTGCACGCCTGACTGGGGATCGAGCCCACAACCCAGGCATGTGCCCTGACCGAGAACCGAACCCCGATCGCCTGGATCCTAGGTTGATGCTCAACCGCTGAGCCACTCCCGGCTGGGCGTGCATCAGTATTTCATTTCTTGTTAGAGTTAATATTCCATTGTGTGTATATACCACAATTTGTTTATCCACTCATCAGTTGATAGACATGAGTTATTTCCACTTTTTGGCTGTAATAATAATGATGCTATGCACATTCGTGTACAAATTTTTGTGTGGACATGTTTTTATTTCTCTTAGGTATATATCTAAAAGTAGAATTGCTAGGTCATACGGTAACACTATGTTTAACTTTTTGAGAAACAGTCAAACTGTCCCACAGCAGCTAGTTTTACATTCCCACCAGCAGTGTATGAATTGAGGGTTTTAATTTCCCCACATCTTTGCCAACACTTATTTTCTCTTTTGATTGTAGTCATTCTAATGTATGTGAAGTGGTATCTCATTGTGGCTTTGAATAGGTGCAGTATCTTTTACTAGGAAAAAAAATTCATCCTCTGGCAGTTAGTATATGATTACTAGACTGACTAATGCATCCTTCTCAAGGGGATCAAAGAGGATTATATTTGTTGGCTGTAATAGGATTATGTATTTCTGCCCATTGTCATGTGACTTGACTGTGCACCCTGTGGGAAGAGCCTATGTTCCTGCCTTTGACTTTGGGCTTGACCACATGGCATGTTCTAAACCAACAGAATGTGGTAAGTCCTATTATTTGCTTGAGCAGTTTACAATGCCATGTTTCCTCTCATTCTCTCAATCCTATACTCTGTCATATCCCAGATAAGGGCTGCTCCGAGAGCCTGGGTCCCACAATGAGAAGACACATACAGCAGAAGCCCAGTCTACCTGTAGCCAAGCAAAACCAAGCCTGTCAGATAGCTGGTATTACTACATTAATTAAAATTTTTATATATTTTTATATGTGTTAAAGTCTTAATTGCTCACTGTTAAATGTGTTGATTAAATCAACATATGCATAATTTTCACTTTGTTCATTTTTGTATCGTTTGGATTTTTTAATGAACATACTAATTTTATAATTCTTTCTTTACTTATTTTAATTACCCATGCTGTCTATTCAACATAAATAGCCTAGATTAAATTATAATTAATTTACTTTTCAAGAAAAAAAATCAATAAAAATGTTTATTTTTAAAAAATGAGTTTAGTTTTAAAAAAGCACTTTGTACATATATGACTACATTTGTAGCTCTCATTGAAAATACAAGTTTAAGACTGTTAGGTTGAGCCCAGCCGGGCGTGGCTCAGCAGTTGAGCATCGACCTGGGATCCAGGCGATTGGGGTTCGATTCCCGGTCAGGGCACATGCCCGGGTTGTGGGCTAGGCAGCCGATCAATGACTCTCTCATCATTGATGTTTCTATCTCTCTCTCTCTTCCTCTCCTTTCCTCTCTGAGATCAATAAAGATATATTTTTAAAAAAAAAGAAAAAAAGACTGTTAGGTTGAAAAGTGGTATCAAAAAAAAAACCCGCAAAAAAAGAAAAAATATATAAACAAACCAAAAAAGTAGTATCAGTTCTTAGCAATCTCAAAACCTCCCTTTAACTATGTGAATAATAGCTTCATTAACAAATTAACTCCTCCCTAACCACCATTATTAATGCAAATATGCTTAGCAGGTTAAATAGATGTGTGTCATATTTGCCACCCTACGAACACCATATACCCCCTCAAAACCTCATTTGATCTGGGCCACCCCAATTCTCAATTTACTCCTCCATCCTGCCTGGGGTGAGAAAGGGCTGGAGTTTAAAGACATGAAGGCTAACTGCAGGCTAACTGAGAGGCATTCTGCCTGAGGCAGTTAACTTAATACACTTCATCTACAAACACTATAAACACCATTCCCAGCTATTTTATAAATACAGTCTAGACTGTCATCCCATGATACCATATATGCTGTATTCCCAGAAAAATAAACCTGTACTAGGGAATAAAATATTCCTTAAGACATTCATTTTGATTAAAAGGAAATTACTAATCTGTCCTGGTGAAAAGACATAAAATGGCAAATAAAAGTACAGTAAACATTGACAGTGCTAGTTTTAAGAATCATCATCTATGATTTATTTATGTTTAAAATATATCTGAGAAGTCAATGTACAATTTCAATGGAACTTGAAGCAACTACAGTTCAACTCCACATAGTTTTAACATTTCTTCTCTTCTGATTTCTCTGCCAGTTTCAACTTTTCTTTTAATTCCTTCTGATCTCTTGAATACTGTTCAAATATTGGTTGAAAAATATATATTCCTCCAGCAATTCCAAGGATGCTAGCAAAAAGCAGTTGTGGAAGAGTCAATCTCCCAAACATTTTTTTCAACAAATGCCAGCACGGAACAAAGATGGTTTTGAAAAATTACACTCCACTCAGGAAATCTCTTCAGATCTGTGTACAAAGAAAATGGAAAACAAAGCAGTAAGTTAGTACAAGATCCTTTTTAAAGATTTCATGTCACTACTTTGCTCTGAAGTGAAGTGTTTTTGTCATATGTAAATATCACATTGATTTAACTAAAATAGAAATATATATATATTTAGGGAGTATAGAAAATGAACGTTAGGGGATGGTATAAAACAAAGCTAAATCCTATTACAGAATGTTCTCAATGGTTTTAACTGGATAATTTAAAAGAGAAGAAGTGAGACAAGGGCAGGCCATATTCTTTGACTTTAAACACATACCAATCGATCTGGAAATAGGAGACAGAGAAATGTTACTTTTCATTATTAGCTATCTTTACTCTCTCATATTTTTTGGCAATATGTATGATTAAAAACAATAGTTTTTTAAAAAACAGGCTAAAATTTTTGAATTTCCTTTGATGCTTTATTAAGTACAAGTAGACATCAAATATAAATCCTTTGCCATCCATTTTTGACAAAAATATAACAGATTTTGCTGGTTTTACTTCTAACAATAGAGGAGTTAAGACTCTAGTACTTCTTGGAAAGTTATACTATTTGCTGACATCTTAGTCTTTGGAGAAACTAGGTAGTTGTTTATGAATGAGGAAAATAGAGCAAAGGATTTACTTTTTCATTATTATAACAATATTCCACAGCCTCCTTAGACCAACCCTGAAGGTCACAAAAATCATTAGTGGCAAAACTGAAATTGGAAACTAGCCTGCCCTTAATATCACTAAAACGTAATTTAAACTAATCTGGGAAAGAAAATCCTGTTTTCTCCTGGACTCTACCATTACCTAGATAAATGAGGACATCACCAAGCATGCTTTGGATCAATGTCTGCTAAGTGTTAAAAAAGAAAAGAAAAAAAGGGCCATTTGCTCTTTGGAGAATGTTACCCTTCTGTCACTAAGCTGGCTAACTGACCCTGACCAAGTCATTTTACCTTTTTGAACTTCATTTTCCATATCCGTACAACTGGCTAAATCATCTCTACCTGGCCTACCTCGTTCAACAGTTATTGTGTGATCACACAAACCGTGAAATGTTGCACAAACACGTTTATAATTATCATTACAGGCATACCTCGGAGATATTGCAATTTGGTTCCAGACCACCGCAATAAAAAGAGTATCACAATAAAGCAAGTCACACAAATTTTTTGTTGTGCCAGTACATGTAAAAGTTGTATGCACTATACTGAAGTCTGTTAAGTGTGCAATAGCATTACATTTAGAAAACAAGGTACATACCTTAATTAAAAAATACTTTATTGCTAAAAAATGCTAACCATCATCTGAACCCGCAGCGAGTCGTAATCTTTTTGCTGGTGGAGGGTCTTGCTTCGATGTTGATGGCTGCTGACTGACTGGGGTGGTGGTTGCTAAAGTTTGGGGTGGCTGTAGCAATTTCTTAAAATGACTGAACAGCGAGGCTTGCCGCTTGGATTGACGCTTCCTTTCACGGAGGATTTCTCTGTAGCATGAGATACTGTTTGATAGCATTTTTCCCACCATAGAACTTCTTTCAAAGTTGGGGTCAATCCTCTCAAATCCTGCTGCTGCTTTGTCAACTAAATTTATGTAATATTCTAAGTCCTTTGTTGTCACTTCAGCAATCTTCACGGCACCTTCACTCGGAGTAGATTCCATCTCAAGAAACCACTTTCTTTGTTCATCCATAAGAAGCAACTCCTCATCTGTTAAGACACTTGTTGCGCCACCTTGCGCTTTTATGTCAGGGAGCTGGCTTCTTTCCTTAAACCTCTTGAACCAACCTCTGCTGGCTTCAAACTTTTCTTCTGCAGCTTCCTCCCCTCTCTCAGCCTTCATAGAATTGAAGAGAGTCAGGGCCTTGCTCTGGATTAGGCTTTGGCTTAAAGGAATGTTGTGGCTGGTCTGATCTTCTATCCAGACCACCAAAACTTTCTCCATGTCAGCAATAAGGCTGTTTCGCTTTCTTATCATCCGCGTATTCAGTGGAGTGGCGCTTTCCATTTCCTTCAAGAACTTTTCCTTCGCATTCACAACTTGGCTAACAGTTTGGCGCAAGAGCCCTAGCTTTCGGCCTATCTCAGCTTTCGATAAGCCTTCCTCACTAAGCTTAATCATTTCTAGCTTTTGATTTAAAGTGAGAGAGGTACGACTCTTCCTTTCACTCGAACACTTAGAGGCCATTGCAGGATTATCAACTGGCCAAATTTCAATATTGCTGTATGTCAGGAAACAGGCAGGCCAGGGGAGAGAGAGAGAACCGGTGGCCTGGCCAGGCCGCAGAACAGTCAGAACACACACAGTTATCCATTAAGCTCCTCCTCTTACGTGGGCATAGTTCTAAGCGCGCCAAAACAATTACAATGGTAACATGGAAGCTCACTGATCACCATAACAAATACAATAAGAACGAGAAAGTTTGAAATATTTTGAGTTATCAAAATGAGACACAGAGACATAAAGCGAGCAAATGTTTTTGGGGAAAATGGCGCCGATAGACTCGCTCCTCACAGGGTTGCCAGAAACCTCCAAGTTGTAAAAAAAGCAAACACAACCCCGCAATATCTGCGAAGCGCAATAAATCACAGCGCAACGAAACGAGGTATGCCTGTACCGGCCCCGCCACCACTCACTCTCCCACCGCTCCGCGCGCTCCCAGCCACTGACCCCGCCCCCGCCGGTCCCGGCACAGGTGAGACCCGACCATTCCCGCAGTTCCGGGGTCTCCGGCGCACAGACCGCAAGACCGAAGGCCGCAGCAATCCCCTCCGAAGGAAACGCCTCAGGGAAGCGTGGGCAAGCGCTGGGCAAACTTTCGTAGCCCGGACCAAAGCCGCAGCGCTCGTCGGCGAAACCGCCACCTTCGCGAGCGGGCGAGAGTTGCCCTTTCCCGGCGCCCTCTGCGCCTGCCCCGGACGGCTGCTCGCAGGGGCCAAGCTTGGTGAGCCCCGAGCTGCGCGCGCTCCGCCAGCCTACCTCTGCGGAAGGCGGCCGGGCGCCTCGGCGGGCGCCGCAGCCCCTGCGGAATGGAGCGGGAGCCCGGCGACGGCAGCCTCTTTTTCCGCGGCCTCCAGAACCGCTCCCAGGAGAAGGTGAAGCTGCGGAAGAGAAAGTCGGCCTTGTACGTCGGCGCCCAGAAGAGCTCCGGGCGGCGCGGAGGTGAGCGAGGGGCGGGGTCGCCCCGGGGGAGGCGAGCGCGGGAAGCCGCGGGCTCGGAGCGAGGGCTCCATCTGCTGGGTGGGGGTGCCAAGAAATCCAAGAGCGCTCCCGGCGGGCGGGATCCTCGAGCCCCGCCGCCCGCCCCGCACCGGGTTCTGCTTTATTTAACGCCGCCCTCCCCCAGCCGTGCGCAGTGAGGAGGCGCGACGCCACCCCGTTTTAGGGAGGGGGGCACCCAGGCCAAGAGTTACCCAAGCCTTAGCAGCTAGGGGGGCTGATTCCTGGGGAGGCACCAGCTCTGACTCCGCCTGCTTCACTTGCCCACTCCGCCTTCTCTCTGGTCTGGATGTGCTGTTGGCCGGAGATAAATCACCCCAGCAAGTTGGGGGCGGGGGGTATTTAATATCAAGATGCACTTCTCATTAAGTATTGCCTGCACGCCTTTTGTGTGACAAGGACTGTAGGAGCGGCAAAAAAAAAATGCCTCGTTACTCCTCCAGAAACCTGAGACCAAGAGGGGAAACCTATAAATTCAATAAAAATTGTAATAATTTTTAAAAAGGGGGAAACCTTTTTGCTAAATGAAAAGTGAAGATGGAAAAAAAGTGAGAGGGCACATACGCGGGTTGCGGGCTAGATCCCCGGTCGGGGGCGTGCAGGAGGCAGCCGATCAATGACTCTCTCATTGATGTTTCTCTTTCTCTCTCCCTCTCCTTCCTCAATTTGAAATCGATGAAGATATATTTAAAAAAAAAAAA